CCCGACTCCATTAGGAGTCGGGAACTTGACCATCTGGTGGTAAGTTGAAGGGATGGCCCGCAAAAGATGAAGTACGGTTCGACCCAAGATAATATTGTGGGTTGATTTGAGATCCATCACCATGAATTAGACTTGGACAGTGGATTGCCTGGGGTACTCTCCGACAGTCAAGGGGAGAGTAATCATCACTTTCGGCAAGAGAGAGTGGCCAGTGAATCCAATAAGTGGGCCCCTACAAGGAAGCAACCGAGATTTGTCTATGCCCATCTAGTTGAAGGCATCGATATATAAGATGTCCACCGAGCTTCTAGTATCGACCATGATCCTCTTCACTTGGAAGCTATTGATCCCAGCTGTGATGCTGATGGGGTCGTCATGAGGCGTCTCGACACCTCTTAGGTTGGCATCTCCAAAAGAGATGGGCTCCTTCACTCTCGACCTCTTATCACACTGGTCGACCTGTAATGCCCTCTTGGCATACCTCTTCCGGGTGTTGTTAGACAACCCTCTGGCGATAGGACCACCACTGATTATGCTGATGACCCCCTTATGGCTGGGCTCTAGGGGTCGACTATCCTGAGGCTATCGAGGACGAGGCGAACGCCAGAGGGATCTTCTATCGGCCTTGGTTGGGGGAGCTTTGCTCTGGTCTCTCTAAGAGACGAACTTCTTCAAATACCCTCTCTCGATGAGATCCTCAATGTCCCTTTTCAAGATACGACAATCATTGATGTAGTGGTCATGATCTTTATGGTAACCGCAATACTATCAGGTATCTCGTTTCCATGGATTTAACCTCATTTGAGGAGCGGGCTCCTTAAGATGCCCCTCCTTTAGGACCATAGTGAGAACTTTGTCGAGGGAGGTGTTGAAGATGGTAAGAGTGGGCCTCATCGATGAGTCCCTTCGTCAGTCCCTCCTGTCAGACCGATTGGAGTGAGAGTCGACTCTCGGGGGGTCTCTCGGCCACTCCTGCCTTGCAGGGGGGCCTCTAGCCGACTAGGGTGTGGTTGTGGAGGTCTCTGTGGCTCTGGCTGATGCCTTGTAAGCTTGGGCATCCTCCATGTCCATGTACCCATGAGCTTTGGCCATCAGCTGCTCGTAATTGGTGACTAACATTTTGGCAAGCGAGTCAGCCAATTTGTTGTTTTGCAAGCCAGCCATGAGGGCGGACATAGGGACCGTACTCCCTGAGTCGTTGACCTCCAGTCTCTTCACCTAGAACCTCTTGAAGTAGGCTTGAATGCTTTCCGAGCTCCTGCTTCATCTGGATCAGCACATGAGAGGGGAGCTTGTGCTTGGTGTCAGCTAAGAAGTGGTGAATATACTTCCGACTGAGTTGCTAGAAGCTGTTGATAGGCTTCTTCTCAAGAGCATTCCACCATAGCTTGGCACTCCTTGAAAGAGTGATGGGGAAGCGTCGAAAAATGACCACTTTCGATGCTTGGAGCATGCTCATCACATCATACTAGTTCTGGACATGCTCGGAGGGGTCTCCCTCACCCTTGTACTTCTTCACGTGAGGTATCTTGAACTTCTCACATGAAGCATTCATCAGATCATCGGAAAGGATGGTGCTTCCCCCAATGGCTTCTGCGATCGGTCTATACACCTGACCGTAGCTAAAGGCCCCTATGGTAGTAGAGGGTGCCAGAGAGGCTCGGTGGTGAGGGAGAGTCTTAGAGACTACTCTACTCTCCTGGTATGGTCCCTAAAGTGACTAGGGTAGGGACTCTCGTCGGTGGATTCAAGATGAAGGTGGAGACGTCGGAGAGGTTCCTCAGGGTGAGTCGACCGATGTTGTGGCGAGGTCGTGTACTCGACATGATCTCTCCACTGCTTGGCAGCAGTATGAGGAGTCTGAGGCTGGACTACTTGCTGTGTTCTAGAAGGAAGATGAGTCTCTGATCTCTAGTCTTCAAAAGGATGGGGAACAACTGAAGTAGCTTGTTGCGGGCTATGGAATTCGACTGAGGAGTTCGCTGGTGAAGGCAGCGAGTTTTTGTTGGAAGGATTGAGATATCTTCTGAGCTATTTCATCAAGCTGAGCTTGAGTAACGTAGCTCTGATGTGGTCCTCAGGGTAAGACTGATCAGCCCTATCCGCGGAACTAGACATGCTCGAAAAAGAAAGAAGGTCCCATAGTGGGCGCCAAACTGTTGATGTTAATTGATCACACAGTCAGTAAAAATGATTAGATGAGGTTGTTGAGGGGCCGCTCTCTTCCCAGAATATCTGGTTCTGAGTCTAGTAGCTTGAGCCTACACAAGAAACAGTTCATGAGAGGACGGGTACTGGTTCCCTTGTGGTTCCTCCGACGATCAAGTCAGTTGATGAACTTGAGTGAGAAAAATGAAGAACTATGTGAGTTATTGTGTGTAATGCAGCAGAATATAATTCTGAGATCTTTCTTAGAAAAAAGATCCTCTCTTGTTGATAATAGTACCTCTATTTATAGTTGTGATGAAAGGATAGAACCGTCATTGTGGCCGAGCACATGATGGCAGTGAAGAAGTATAGACTGGCGGCTAGATCAATACTTGCTTTACAGGTATCGACTGGCGATTGGAGGAAAGATCACCTCAACATTAAACGAGAAGCGATTGGGGGCATGGTGGTGCCAACGTGGCCCGATGAGTTATGAAGGCTATCAGAGCTAGAGGCATCATGACGTCTGCCAAGCATTAAATGCGATGCTGACACATTGTCGGTGGGAGAGGCTCGAGGCTGAAGTCATCTTTTGGCTTCACCGAGAAGTAATGCCTTTCGAGTCGACTTCGCAAGGCGTCAAGTAACTGGTCGAGTAGGCTCGTTGCTAGTCGTCTTCGACAAGAGGATCAACAAGTATCGTCTTTCAAGTCGACATTAAGGGATGTCGACTCGATGAGTCGGCTAAGTCGAGATCCTTGCTGGTCTTTGCTGCCAATTTGATTAGGGCATTACATGTAGAAGTACACCTTTTTCGGGGGAGAGAGGATGAATGTTCTCTTTTATTGTTTTCTCTNGCTCATTCAGAATGAGCTGCTCACTCACATACGACCTCACATCAGTCCGACGTGATAACTATGTTGACCTACACACTATTGATAACTATGTCCGACGTGATAGCTATGTTGACCTACATACTATACGACCTCACATCTGTCCGTTGTTGGCAAAGGATTGCATTTTGGCGATTGAAAACATCATAACAATCATGATAAAAGATAAGGATTTGATAATTATAAAAAACACCCTCAGAATTTAAATTATAAAAAATTTAATAAATCAAAGTACAAAGTATACACTAGAAATCAACAAATTCAAAATTTATAAAAGTGCCTACAAACTTAGAAAATTGGAAAAAGATCTTTTAAATTTTTGAAAATTTTCAGGCATTTTTTTATTCCCTTGAGTTTGTAATGTTTATAAATCTTGAAGTTCGCAATGTGTGTTTGTGAATTTTGAATTTTAGGGAATTAAATATGTCGAACTTAATTTCTTTTATAACTTGAAACTGGCCTCATACATGTTTCATGTACAAAATGTAATACACTTATTGGATAATAGAGAGACTTTCAATGATACTGGGGGTTTCGTGTCAAATGCCTAAACTTACTAGGAGTTTAGTGAAATTTACACATATAAATTCCAATTCTAATTTATAGAGAGGGCAGATAGATGATTGTAATAAAAACAGAAATCCTACATAATCAAAGTATTTGATCACGTACAATGCACGTGTATGAAAAAAATGTATAAAAAATGTATATGAATTGACACCTCATTTTGTAAAAGGAATTACTTACTAATGTCAATAGTGTGTAGATCAACATAGTTATCACATCTGACTAGTGTGAGGTCGTATGTAAGTGAGCAGCTCATTCTGAATGAGCTATATAGAGGGAGAGGGAGAGGGGGAGAGAGAAGAAGCGAGAGAAAACAAGAAAGGAGAACATTTGCCATCTTTCCCCCAAGAAAAGGTGAAAGAATTTAAAACAAAAAAAATAAAAATAAAACAAACGTATAATGTTTTCCTTCCTCCTCTTCATCGCCATCATCACTTCCTCCATCTTCATCTACTTCAAACTGACCAGCCAAAACTCAACCCTAGACTCCTCCCCGTCCATCCTCGATCTCATCAAGAACCGCCACCGGATCCTCGACTGGTCCACAGACCTCCTCAAATCCTGCCCAATTCGCACCGTCTCGACCCCCATGGGCATTGTCACCGCCGACCCGAAGGTTGTCGAGCATTTCCTCAAGACCCGCTTCGACAACTACCCGAAGGGCGAGAAGTTCCTGCTCGCCCTCCGTGATTTCCTCGGCAGCGGCATCTTCAACAGCGACGGCGAGCTCTGGAAGTCCCAGCGAAAAACCGCCAGTTTAGAATTCAAGACGAAAACCATCCGATCCTTCATTATGGCCAACGTCATGGTCGACGTTGCTGACAGGCTGATTCCTTTATTGTCGAAGGCATCAGCGAATAACAAAATCCTTGACTTACAGGAGGTTTTGTTTCGCTTTGCTTTCGATAATGTGTGTAAGGTTGTGTTCAGTTGGGATCCTGCCAGGCTCGGCGAGGACTCTAAAGAGGGAAGAGAGTTCAATGAGGCGTTTGAGGAGGCTTGCGCGCTGACATTGTACCGGNGTTCCACCACGTGCATCCGATAATATGGAAGGTCAAGCGGGCGCTGCGAGTCGGGTCTGAGCGGAAGCTCAGACAGAGGATAGAGTATGTGAAGAGATTCGCGATGCAGGTAGATTACAATCACAATTTGCTTCCCATACATAGTTTTAAATTTGCACCCCGCGCGCACTTGAATTTTCAAACGGTTTACGCTGAGAATTTAAAAAAAAAAATTAACAGTCCATTTTCACACCTTCATTGTATTAATAGATAGTCTTCATCTGCCACCGCAGGTAGTGAATTCAAGAAAAGCTTCCTTACTTCAGCCAGCGCGGCGCCGTGGCGAAGAAGGCGAGCGACGCTGCCTGTCGCGGATTTATGGCGAGACCGGGATGGAGAGTACTCTGACGAGTACTTGCGGATTGGTCTGGAGGCTTCGTGCTCGCGGGGTCCGGGACACCACGTCTGCGACTTTAGCCTGGTTCTTCTGGCTAATCGCCAAGCGGCCTGATATTAAGAAGAAGATCGAGGCGGAGATAGCGAAGGTGAAGAAGGGCAAGTGGCTGAGTCTTGATGAGGTGAGGGAGATGGGTTACATGCACGCGGTGCTGTCGGAGACGCTGAGGCTGTATCCGGCGATACCGCTCGAAGGGCGCACGTGCGCGGAGGACGACACGCTGCCGAACGGGATGAAGGTGAGGAAGGGGGAGTGGCTTATGTACAACTCGTATGCGATGGGGAGGATGGAGGAGATTTGGGGGAGTGATTGGAAGGAGTTCAGGCCGGAGAGGTGGATGAATGGTATGTTTTAAAATAATATTTTCTACTTTTATTTATTTCTTGCGATTTTTCTTTATTATTCAGTCTGACGGCTGTGAATCCTCTCACTACGTTCTAATCAATAGTGAAGAGAGTCAGTCAAGAGGCCACTGTCTAATCAATAGTTTCAATAGGCTGGAGTTATCTCGCTCGCACATCCATCTTAACTATTACCCAATAGCTTATACTTAATTTTGGCAATGTTGCTACTTTCATTAGTTGGTTTTTTTTTAATAATATCCCGTATTTTGCTGAAAATTTTCTGAAATTTAACATTTTCCAAACTATTGTCATATCCAATATCAACCAATAACAAGACACTTATTCGCAACTCTTGGAAGGTACTAACGGAGAGTTCCAGCAAAAGAGCCCGTTCGAGTACCCGGTGTTCAACGCAGGGCCAAGGACATGCCTGGGGAAGGAGATGGCGTATATCCAGATGAAGGTGGTGGCCGCGGGCATGCTAGAGAGGTTTGAGATCAACTTGATGGATGAAGAGGAGGAGAAATTGCCGGAGATGTCAATTATTATGAAGATGAAGGGAGGACTCAACGTGATCGTGAGGGAGAAGAAGTACGTGGCTGCAAATTGAGTTTTATTTGATCTATATGTCGACGTACGTGCGTGTTGATCGAGTGAAGATTTTAAGCTGTTTGGCGTATCATTAGTGCATTAATGAACGTAAACTATCTATGAAGGTCAGGCTTCGTCAGTTGCCATGATCTGGGTGGTTTTCTTTTTTTAGTGGTGCGTGGTAGTATTTTCTGAAGTATAAACGCAGGAGTTACGTATAATTTGCTTGTGTTGCCAGTTGCCTTAGATCGGTTTGAATAGCGGGATATGAAAATTGAGTTTCTCAAAAAGTTTTAAAATAAAAAGACTTAAAAAGTTGATGCCACCCTCTTTACTTGTTTTACTTTAATTTTTAGTCACTTTCAAATTGTCAAACTGTTGAAAAAAAGATGAAATGCTATGCCCAATATTGTAAAGGGAATGTGACAAAGCCTCATGACTAAATCAACTATTTTCAAACCCTTAAAGTGAGGAATAAGAATGCTTCTCTCTCTCTCTCTCTCTCTCTCCTTTTCTATTAAGGTTTAACAACCAATAGGTCGAAGGCATTTTGCAAATGTTAGGGAGTTTATTCTAATTTTTGAAACATTTTGAAAGGGTATTTTGCAAATTGTTTGGGGCTTATGTATAATTTCTAAAACTTTTAGGGTTCTTTTGCATACTTTGGGGGTTATTTGCAATTTTTAAAACCTTGGGGGGTTTGCAAAGTTTTGAGGAGTTATTTACAGTTTTTAAAACTTTCTAGGAGTTATTTACTTTTTTTGGGTGGGTTAATTTAAAATTTTAAAACTTTTTGAAAAGTTTTCTACAAATTTTCGGGTTGCGGTTAACTTTTATTTCTGAAATTTTTTGGGGATTTTCTGCAAATTATTGGGGTCATTTGTAATTTCTAAAATGTTCATGGGATTTTATGTAATTTTTGGGGACCATGTGCAATTCTGTTTAAGCTTAGTAGTTAGCTCTTAAGGTTAGTAGTTAGTTATTAAATTTTAAAGTTAATAGTTTAGCTTAGTAGTTAGTTGTTAGGCTTAGTTTAACATTTAGTTATTAAGGTTAGTAGTTTGATGCTAAATTTAACATCTAGTTCTTAAGATTAATGGTTAGTTGTTATGTTTATTGATTTTCTGTTAATAGTTATTTTTCTTAAACGCTTCGCTGTTTGTGTATAACATGGATGTTTAACAATATTTTATTTTGTTTAATGTTATCAATTAATTTTTTTCTCTACAATATGCGATGTAAATTGTTAACTTTAACAACTAACTCTTAAGTTTAATAACTTATGCTTCAATCTAACATCAACACTTTGACAGTAAACTTATGAGTTATATGCTAGATTTAAGTATTAGTTCTTAAGCTAAGAGTCCGTTGTTAATGTTATCATATAATACTTAACAGCTAACTAATAAGTTTCACAACTAGCTTAAAACTTAACAACTAACTACTAAGCATAACAATTGACTAACTTTCAAACTTAACAACTGACTAATAAACATAACAACCAACTACTAAGCTTCATAGTTTTTTGAAAGACAGATTTTTGCATTGTAAATTTCCGCCCAATGAAAGTTTCACCAAATGCAAATAACCCTTAAAAGTTTCAGAAATTGCAAATAGCTCACCAAAAATTGCACAAAATCTACTGAAAAGTTTAAAAGTTGCAAATAAGTCCCAAAAATTTATAGAAAATCATCACAAAAATTTTAAGAAATAGAAGTTATCCCTCCCCAAAAAAAAATTTTTTTTTACAGAAAACTACCCAAAAAGTTTTAGAAATTGAAATTAACCTCCCAAATATTTATTAAAAACCCGTACAATGTTTTAGAAATTACAAATAACCCTAAAAGAATTTACAAAACCCCTCAATAAGTTTTAAAACTTGCAAATAATCCCCCTTAATTTGCAAAATAGCCCCCTAAAGTTTTAAAAAATTACAAAGAGCCCCTAAATTTTATAGAAACCCTCAAAATTTTAGAAATTACGAATAACTCCCTAAAAATTTACAAAAAATATCCAGTGTGTTGGTTGTTCACCTTAT